ACAGAATATCCTGAGAATAAGGTATCCTAGCTTGAGGACTAGAGGAAAATTGCACTTATTTATTATTACTTACATTATTAAAAATGTTACAGATTAACATTTTAATTCTAAATCAGAGCATTGAAATTTTTGAAAATTAAAAAATAATTTTAACTGATTTAATAAAGAATAAATAATTCTGTAATAATTTTAACAAAACTTAACATCGATCAAATTCAATTGAAATAGACCATACCATCCGGACGAAGTCTGTGACTTCAGCTAGTATATATAAATAGATATCTGTTAACAAAGTGTTTCATTACAATTATAACAATTATGGAATATAATTAAATAAAACTATTTATTTTATGAACTTTGTCTATATGTACACTTGATAATGCGTCTGTGACTTAAGTAAATCATTATATTAAAGTATATGCTGTATTTATTTTAATTAAACATCTTATTTAATATCTTTCATAATTATAAAATTTTATTAACCAACTTGAAAAAAAAGGATTTCCTTAAACAAACAAGACTAGTGTTTTTTAGTAGTCTGCTTTCGAAACGGTAACAAGGCTGTATTAAAACGACTCACACACAATTAGATAATACAGTATTAGTTATACATCTAGAATATTCTATAATAATGAGAGGCCTAGTGGCCTCCCTTTAGCTACATCCTTAGACTTGCATCTCTTCTTTTGTATCTGATTCATTTACCGTATAATACGACATTATTTCTAAATTCCCGAACCAACTTAGCATGCACTTTCTCATCTTAATCAATCTTTCATCTGCTTTAGCCATTTGATGTCCTCAGCTCATTTTTCTAGTATAACTCAGAACTACAGTCTGCTGTATGGTCCCCCTATAGAATGAGTCACCCCTTTCTTTGCCCTGGGTGTCGTAAGAGACGACTTGGGGAACCTAATGGCCGACAAATTAACGGCAGCGTCCCTTAAGAGGGACGCTGCTGCTGATTATTTCTTTTTTTTTTATAGCACTGAGGTGGCAAACAAGCATACAGCTCACCTGATGGTAAGCGGTTACCGTAGCCTATGAACGCCTGCAATACCAGGGGTATAACGCACGCGTTAGCGACCCTAAAGAAACCTCTTTACTCTTTTGAAGAACCCCATGCTGTAGTCTCTTGGAAAAACCTCGGCAGGGAACTCGATCCATAATCTGAGCGTTCGTTAGAGAAAACATCTCTGAAACCGCGTTGTACGCGAAGATTTAGGCTGTAGGGTATGAGGGTGAACTCCCTGTTGATGGCGAGTCGTACGATGGTAGAAAGTGGCCGTGGGCATCGTATTGAACAATTTCTCTGAACACAATCCGTTGTACAAGCAGTAGAACAGGCAGAGTGAGGCAAAATCTCTTCTAAGACTAAAGCCTTAGCCATTTGCTACCCTCAGTTCATTGTCCTAGTATTACTGAGAACTACAGTCTCCTATATTGTGAGTCATTTCTTTCTTTACCTTCAGTGTCGTAAGAGGCGACTTGGACAACCTAATGATCGAGAGATTAACAGCAGCGTCCCTCTTAAAATATCATTTTATTTAAAAGGGACGCTGCAGCTGGTTATTTCATATTGATTCCTATGATAAAGAGTTCACTAGGATATCAAATTGGAATTTTAATTTAAGAGATAGGCTATAGATATACCATAGATAGGCTAGGGATAGATAGATAGAAATTAAAACTCAGATTCGGCAACACTGACTCGCTAGCGATTTTAACTCTATCGATGGACTCGTTCACCACCATATCCACATATCAATCAATATATATATATATAATAAAATCACAACTGATCGCTGTGTGTATATAGAAGATTTATAAGAAAAACTATTATAGGGGCGGGGGGGGGGGGGGGTTTGGGGTATGAACGCAATAGAACCCAAAACAATTTTAAAATTTTTGTCTGTTTTTCCTTTGTGCACGCTAATCTCAGAAACGGCTTAACCGATTTGAATACGGTTTTCACTAGTGTGTTGCGGTTTGCTGTACTTAATATTTAGTGTTTATTTTATTTCAATCGATTCATAAATAAAACAGTTATATCTATCTATCTAAAGAATCATATATAAAATGTTATAAAATAACCGATCAGTTAAATTGGCTAAAACTTTATGATGGTATTAAGAAGGTAATTATCATTTAAGTATATAATACAATATAAAACTGGATTCATGAAGAGTTCTAAATGATATACGGGAACTATATAAAGGCAGGCAACGCCGCGGGAAACGGCTAGTACTCAATATGACTTAACTGAATATTTGTCCACGTTTTGCAATATAAACATGGTCTAAAAATAGATTCTCTCCACAAACGCCGTTCCATAAACAAGCAGGACCACCCGTAGTCTATTCGGAGAGACGCGTGACGTAATTCGCGGCGTATCAGCTCGGTGATAAGTCGGGTAATCCAGGAGCCCGGTGTTGGTTTAACGTCCCGAGCCGCACACGATGTGTGTGTGTTTGTCTTATGTGTTAGGAACAGGTGAACTTAGAGGTAGCATGTTAGTTTCTTAAAAGATTACGTTCGCTACTAGCTCTGTTGTTAGTAAATTTTTCCGTTGTGATTTATGACGCTTGCTGACAGTTTTTTTTTTATTTTATTTTTTTACACAACTTAGAATGGCATACAAGCTGACGCTTCACCTGATGGAAAGTGGTAACCGTCGCCTATAGATATGAGCAGTACCATGGATATAACAGAGTATACTGTTTTGGCCATGATACCATCCATGCGTTGCCATTCCTGAGGAAAGTTAACTTAAGTTTCTTCACTGCAAAAAATCGTTGTGTGTTTTCTATTTCTTCATATTACAGGTGCTCTAGTTATCACCTTCATCATCATTATATCAGCCGTTGTCTGTCCATTGCCAAAGATAGGTCTGCCTCATAGACTGCCATGAAAAAGGTCCTGAGCCACCAGCGTCCACTGACATCCTGCAATAAACTTAAGGTCGTCATCTTATCTAGTGGAGGTCATCCTATACTGCGTTTGTCCGTAGGTGTTTTAGTAAGACAAGATAATAGGTGCAATTGGGGGGAAAGGGATTGTTAGTAATACGGACCATCAGTCCCATTACTAGCAAAATACCCTATCAGGTCGGCCTTCACGTGGTCCCCCCTGGAAACCATCGTGCTGAATTTCAAGTGGTAATCCATCATGGTAAGCTAACTGAACTGCCCTGTCATCCTCACTTATCATCCCTCACTGGTGCCCCGCCAGCGTATACCGATAGCGCGGGCAGGGTTACCATTCCATTATCATTCATTGAAAAAAAATAGGTGCAATTATTTTACAAAATTCTGTGGATTGAGTGGTATATTGTTCAGGGAATAGACAACGTTAACACACTTTACTCACCTTATATGGCACATGAGTAAATAGGAATATAAATAATTTTTATTTAAATAAACTTTTATACTAGAGTTTTTTTTTATCTAATTAATTTAATATAAAAGTACGAGTTATCATTCTCATCATATCAGCCTTTAACTGTCCACTGCTGAACGTAAGAGGCTTACCCTTGGAAAGATTTTGCCAGTAGATGCCACGCTTGGCAGGCGGCTTGGCAACCGCAGTTAGGCTATGGAGATGTTTTAAGAGTAACGCTGCTGCATATCTCTCGACCTCCCTTTGTCACCTCTTACGACATCCACGGGAAAAGAAGGGGGAATCTATTTTAATAAAATAATTAAAAAAAAAAACAGATAAGTTTATACATTATATGATGCATATCCTGAGGTTACAAACAATGATAAAAATACAACCGAATAGAGGACTTCCTATTTTTTTTAAACATTAAAAAACAAGCGACTTCCAGCATTTTGATATTTTTTTCAATTTATAGTTTTACTGTCGTGTTTTTTTTTTTTGATGCGTGAAAATGGTATGGTAACCCCGCTTCCGCTTACGGTATACGCTAACGGAGAAACAGTGAAGGGTGATAGATGAGAATGAAAACAGGCCAGTTAGTCTATCATGATGAATTCATCAAGAATTAACCATGATAGTTTCCAGGGAGAACCTGGTTGGGTATATTGCTAGCAATGGAATTCTCAGTCTCTATTTCTAACAATCCCTTTCCCCCCCCCCCCCTTACTGTCGTGTTAGTCCCATATTAATAATAATATAAATTTTTATTTCAAAATAACCATGTTCGTTATTTGTATTGATTTTAAAATATGTCAGTAAAACAAAAATAATATTTTTTTTTTGGTTTCCATAATAATATTGACCCAAACAGAGTAGATCGGCTATCAAATGCCTTGCCTGATGCGTGTTGCCTTCAAAATACTGTTACTTATACCACGCCGTCGGTGCAACAAAGAGGCGATGTTTTTATATACCTATGATCTATAATTCATCCGTCAATTCTGCACCAAATATTAGGGGCGCACTGCAGAAACGTGGCAACCGTAACAGCACCCTGAAAATATTATTGTATTGAAATCAGAGCGTAGTATGCCCGCCATATATTTACCTATAGAATACCCATAAGGCTACTTGTATACAAAATTGGCAATATGTCTCGATTTTGTGATGACAGAAAGTGCCGTTTTCATTGCGAAGCACAAACAAACATTTGTACAAGAAGATTTTGACAAACAGGATTTTTTTCGCCTTTTCCTGATTTTTTTTTTCTATACAATTCGACGATCTGCGAATAATCTGTTGTTTATTAAAATTATTTATTTATTTTAATATATATTATTTTTATTATATTATTATTATTTATTTAATGGTATCAGCCGGTAACTGTCCATTGCTGCAAAGGCTTCCCCGATAAGGGAGTTTTGCCAGTAGTTGCTACGCTTAGCATTATTTTATGTAAAAAACATACTTTTATCTTCATATTTAAGAGTATCTTCTTGTCGATATATATATTTACAATATATATATTTTATACTTTAATATTTTACCATAGGCTACTTTTTATACCGATCAATCAATATATCGCGGTCATGCGTGCGAATTTGCAGGTAATAACTAGTATTAGAATGTGAAATAAAATTAATATAATGATTCGCAATATTTTATACTTAGTTCATTATCTTACAGTACGTAAGTTAGATATACACAAAAATATACTACAGTAGTGACATTTTTAAAAGTATTTTTTGCAGTGCATTTTACATCATATTTCGTACAAATCGCGTATTTACGATTGTTTCAATGGTAATTTTCATTCTTATAATATCTATTCCAATAAATCTACAACTAGACAAATTATTGCTTATCTACTTACAATAAAAAGTTAAGAAAATATTTACATATTAATTAATATAATATTCGACGCTACTTTGTACATAAAATGACTAGACATATTGTAATTATTGCTACTTTTTAATAAAATCATTTTCGCTAAAAACTTCGAAACGATTTAAATCGTAGACCGATTGTAATACCTACTGTTTTTTTTTTTATTTTATGGAAAAATTAAAAAGGCATTTTTGTTCTTATGAAATTAATTTAGTTTCTTGTACGTATACAAAATATGTTCAGCTTAACAAAAGCTGCAAAAACATTACCTATCAATGATTAACTGTTTTATTTGTTATAGAAATATTATTAAAATATAAAAATCATATTCCAATAACTTATTTTTTTATTTAAAATGTAACATATATTATATAATTCAAATATTAATTATAAATATAATGTGGAAGCGAGTTTACAAGATATGAAGTTGTTTCTTTAAAATACTTTTTTTTTGTTTAATTCAAATTCAAATTAATGTTTAAAAATGGAATCTAGACTTATTAATGTTTAATAGATTTTGTAATACCTATTAAAAAGAAACGAGGTACAAAATAAAAATTTATTAAAAGAATACCTAAATGTTTTTCTAAAAAGTAGCAAAACAACATATTTGGCACGTTGAAATCTTACATCTAATTTACGGACGTAACCCTTATTTTAAAAGTATGCATTTAATTAATATTATTAAATTAGGAATGCGATAATTATATCATGAACACAATATTTTAAAAAATGTGCACAATTATTATATAAATCACAAAAGAAATATAGTTATCATCAATACTTACTTTTCGGCACTGAAAAGCTTTATAGAAACTGTTTGGTAACTTTAAAATACTTTGGTCAATTCAATCCTACCACTATTCAATATTTGGCTGAAGCTCTAATAATACCCGTCTTAATCTTCGCAAAATATCTACACAATATCGTACAATATACACTAAAACACCGTCAGTTCATCAGTTGCGTCACAAATCAGTCAGTCAATCGAGCGAGGCTTAGCACGTGGTCCGGTAGCAAGCTTCAGAACGGGGGTGGACTGGATGTACACCCGCTCAGATACATTCACCTTGCCCAATCATCCGGCGGCCCCGACCCCTGATGCAGCGGGGAGAATGCGCTTCTCCTTGGCTCCGATACTGCAGACGCATCCTGAGGTCCAATTATGGATTCGATAGAGAATCCGTTCCTTGATCTTTTCCCTCTAGGCTCTGTCGTTTCTGCAACTCTCGGAGGCAGCGGTACAGGACGTAACGTGGCTGGCGGAGGGCGTGGAAGCGTTAAGATAGGAGCCGGGGGAAGGTAACACGGTAGAGGAAGCAGCGGGGCGTAGGCCTCCCTCGCCAACATCGCGACCACAGCATGCGCGTGCTGTAGCGACGGCGCCGGTCTTTTATACCTCTTCCGACGCCTCAGAAAACTTCCATTATCAAACATATCCTCGGCTAAGGGATCTAAAGTCCAATAATTGCCTTTACCTGGATTTCCAGGCTCCCTAGGGATCTTTATAAAACAATCATTAAGACTTAAATTGTGCCTGATCGAATTCTGCCAGGCCGGGAACTTCTCTCTGTAGTAAGGAAATCTGGTCATGATAAATTCACATATACCGCTGAGCGTGAGTTTCTTGTGTGGGGACTGTAGGATGGCCATTGTGATAAGAGCAATGTAAGAATAAGGCGGTTTAATGAGTTGTGAGGACGACTTGATTTTGGGCTTCTTCGGTGAACTAGACTTGGTGTCACTAGGACTTGACGCTTCGTATCTGTCAGAGTCACTGGACGGCGGCGGCACTTCAGGGGTGTCTTCGTCGACGGATACATACGTGTCGTCCTGTGGGTACTCGGGGTTATCGTCGCGGAGGTAATGGGGTAAATAAAGCCTCGGCGGCGGTCGCAAGTCCAGTGGTAAATCACCTTCGATGATCATATCGCGGTATTGGGTAAGATCACAATCTTCCATACTGTACGGTCACATGACAGTGGTGCGTGTGGGCGCGTGGCGCGGCGCGGACTGCGGCGGAGCCCCATCTCGCCGGAGGCTCTGCCCCGGCTGACTCCGCCCCACGCCGCCCTGGGGGTGGCCCCCCCGCCCCAGGCAGCGTTTACGTTCCAGTAAACACAACAATTGTCGTTATTATTACTGCGGGTCGGAGCTTTGTGCATGAATTTCAGGCCATCGACTAATAATTATTATTAGTCCACTCGCTACTTATACATTTAACTTTGTTGTTGTAGTTATTTGAACACGATTTCATTTCTATTTATGTATTATATTAAAAATATTTTGTGTATACTATACTATGCGTATTAAATTTTTAACTGAATACTTTATAAGTAAATACAAGTATTTTATATACATAGTTATGTTTATGTTGTATTATTTATAATGGGTGTTCAAGAATGATTTATTACATATAATATTATTACTATTTTACTTATTGATAAATAAAAAAAAATTAAGCCATCATACTCGTAAACAACCAATACAAATAAGTACACCTGAAAGTGAATGTACAATTGCATATAAATAAAACAAATAGATAGATAGGTACTCTTTATCGTTTCCTCCAAAAGATTACAATAGTAAACTTATTATAAATGTAAACAGTTACAAGAATTACAATTACAATAAATATTATAGATATAGGTACTTATACTAAGGGAATTTGTCATATATTTTGATAAAGTTATTAAAACAATTCTAAGTTACGGTATTCTACATAACATTAAATTTGCTTTTGTATCTATTTCAAAAATAACAAAATATTTTTAATTTTGCAGTAATCTAATAATTCTCAAAACACAGATATTAGTGAAGCCACAAACAAAAATTTATATGTATATATAACAAATTTCTGTGTATTGAAAACTGTTTTAAATTTTGGCTACTTGGCTACGATTTTCGTAGACCTTATGCCCTTTAACTTATGGCTAACCTTAAACCTGTCATAAACCTATTTTAACTATTAAACCTTTTGTCTCTTTTGACAAGTGATAAAACAGTGTAATAGTTAAAATAGATTTTTAGAAGGTATTGTGAACTGATTGTAGAAAAGAAAACGCCGGTTCGTGTTGAAAAGTTATACTGGCAATTTATCAAAAAAATAACCAATTAAAAGAATAAAATATTTGAAACACAAATTACAGAAGTGTTTGTAACAGAAGAATTTAGTTTTTATGAATAATGCGGTTTATATCGTAGATATTTTTGGATGATGAAAATCCCTTTGGATCTCTCCAAATCAGACGATAATCTTTCATAATACAATGGAAAATATCCAATTATTTTACACTAGTTTTTACCCGCACTTTGCTTGCATGATTATTTAACCAATATAAAAAAAGTATTAAAATTGTAAAACTGAGTTTGTTACCTTATAGAACTTTAATGACTTAATGAAACGCTATGAAAAATGGTATACACGTATTATATGGGATGGAGAAGAATATAGGGCACATTTTATTTTGGTCAGTAAACATATTAAGGTAATATAAAAAACCTACTCATGTATATAATTTATTAGGGATTGATTCTATCACTAAAGCCCCAAAGGAACAAACAAACTCTTGTATTTTATAAGGTAATATCAGTTAGGATAATTAAAAGATTCTCTTTTGTAAAACAATGATTTCTTGAAATGTAAAAATAATTTGCGAATTTCTTGAATATAGATAAACAATACAATTGATATTATTAAATTATGTTAAATGTATAAATATTCAATTTAAAAGATATTTAGTAGATAATAATATAATCAACAGACATACAAGAGTTAACAATTATAATATTCAATGTACCTATTCTACCCTGAATTTTATCAGAAAAAATTATTACGTATCTAGATCATAACATTAGATATATCATTCATAAAAAAATGTATTACCTAGACATGTAATGTATAAATAAAAAAATATATAAGTAAATCTAACCTATACAATGCCAACAATGTGCTGAATAGATTTATTATTTGTAAAAATCTCATATCTGAAAAGGAAGCGTAATAAATGATTCAACAGAACGCGCAAAGGAAACTGTTTACAGAGATATATACGCGATCCTTTAATCCCAAGCTAAAGGACTCGCGGTACTATTGGAAGAAATCTCATAAAGCGAATTCTAGCACTCCATTCAGGTAAACGTCTTCGAATAAAATTCGCGTAAAAAATATTACTTGATATGGCTTGACAATGCAAGCGGGACTGTAGAAAACCCTCGTATATGTTTCCTAGCATAACATTTACCCCTCGGGCGTCGAGGGAAAAGCTACACGTGCGAGTGTGACGCAACATAACCGCGATAGAGACGGAAGACGTGCTCGGCCAATGGTGAGCACGCTTCCTCTGGGCGGAGTTCCCCCAAAGCTAACATGTCAGGGCGTGGCATTAGATCCTATTATTGTCTGGCAAGGCAAATAATATTTTGCACAATGTACACATTGGGTAAAGGGGGGTTGTGGGGGGTTGCTAATTTATTCCCAACTTCGGTTACGGGTTGTTTTTCAGCTTTGCGAGCTTGTTATTTAAATTGGAAGGGAGTTATTTGTATGTAGCCGTCTGTAGGCATTGTTCGTTGTAATGAAGGAATTCGCGGCGGTTGTTTGTTGTAGGAAAATTTCAAGCGATTGTTCAGAATGGATTTGTTATTGTGTATGTAGGTACGTACGTATTCTTGTATTCGTGTGGAGTTTCGCTTTTTAAATAGGTACACCTCTGTTTCAATGACCATTGTATAAATATTATAAAGGTCTATATACTACCTACTTCGATGGCTAGGCATAATTTTATACGTAAAAGAAAAGCAAGTCGTCTCTTTATTTATATAGCTATGTTTATAAGTACAGGTGTTCACTCTTTTATCCACCGTTTCAGTTTTTTTTTTTAATATTTGTTACCTTATAACTTCGTCGGTTGTAAACAAATTTGAAAGGGTATACTTACTGTTGAACATAAGCCTTTCCCTTTGGCGTTTTTGCCAGTAGTTGCCACACTTGGCAAGCGGATTGGCAACCGCAGTTAGGCTTTAGAGATGTTTTAAGAGGGGCGCTGCTGTCCGTCCCTCGCTCTCCCTTAGTCACCTCTTACGACACCAACTAGAAAGGAAGGGGTGGCCTATTCTATGCCGGAACCACACGGCATATGTTTACTGACCGGGATAAATGGTAGCCATATCCTTCTCCATTCCATATAATAAGTATTAATTAAGCTGTTAAGGCGCTATAAGATAACAAAGAATCAAACAAACTCACTTTCACATCTATATCAGTATTCTTTTCATTTAAGAGTTTCCTCTTGTCGGTGCAACTAATTCAAGCATCTTCCTCCAGCCAGCTCTATCCCAGGCCATATCCTTGATCTCCCTATACGATATGACACCTAGTGTTTTCTTTATCTGTCCCATGTAGTTATTCCTCGGTCTTCCTCTTCCTCTATTGCCCTCTATTTTTCCTTCTATTATGCTCTTAAAAAAATCGTCATGTCGTATAAGGTGGTCCAGCGTTTTGCCTCTTCTATTCTCTATTATTTTAATTAATGTTCTTATCTCGTTCACTCTTTTCAGGACTTCCATTCTCCTTCATGTCCATATTTCGAATGCCTCGAGCATCTTTCTTTTCTTCTGCGTCATTGTCCATGTTTCCCACCCATATAATGCTATGTTCCGAATATAAGTTTTTATAAATTTCTTAAGGATGATTTTTTTAAGTAAATATATGTTTTTTGTTATCATAGGCCTGTTTTGAGACCTTTATTCTAGTTCTATATATATAGGATATAAAAATAAATACGTAGATACTAAAACTTTGCATTTACTTTTTGATGCACACGCGAGTTAGTGCGAGAGAGCAAGTGCCACCAGCTGACCGAGACCGCTGAAAGAGGTAAGCAAGGTCACGAATTTCACTTTTTGACCGTTAACGTTTTTAGTTTAAAATAAAATCACTTTTATTAGGTTTAATATAATTTACAACACTAAATTATTTTAACGTTTATTTAGTCCGTGTAATTACGTTTAATTTGGTATATGATAAGTACTCAAAATTGAATGTTTTATGCGATTTAAATAATTACTAGTGACAGCGCAATTGATAACGATGTTTACGACACGAAAACTCGCGGCTGACCAAATACCATTTTTAGTTTATTAAAAAATAGCATTTAGTTTCAAATAATTAAAGTTTATTTAGTAAAAGTAATCGAATTACAGTTGTCTAATTGGCAATTTCACTTTTAATAACATTTAAATATTAATATATTGTGTTAAGTGTCACAGTTAATTTATCATTTCCTCGTAAATTGAAGAAAAGTATAAAAATGTCTGCAAAATTAGTAATTAACAACCTTTTAAAATCACTTGGGAAAAACTCGGTTACGCCTCGTTGTTCAATCGTCAATTGGTTTATTCCGGCCTTGAGGGATATGACACTAATACCTAAAAAGATTTTTTTCAATTAAAATAGAATGTGACGTGAAATGATGTAGTCGTCTCCTACGAATATGATCGTTTTTCTGTTATAAGGACCAAACGAAGAGCAGATTTTAATTTAGAGCAAAATTTTACTTTATATAATTTATATTTTTATATAATTTTTAATATGAAATTAATATTCATACTTTACAGAGTCTAATTTTATCTTCACTACATATTTTATCATGTAATAAACTATATAAATGTAGAGGGTTCATGTAGAGGGCAATTATATTTATTTATATGCTTTTGTACATTCACTTATAGTATAGATATTAGGTTAAAGCCAAAATGTACACAGGCGGACTTATTCCTTAAAAGGGATTTCTTCCAGTCAACCTTAAGAACCCGAAAGGAGAAAGAGTCTATAAGATTTATATACAAAACATAACATACATGGTGCACAAATAATACTAGCCTTAACCCACCAGCTTTAGATATCATTTAGGTATTTGAAATCCGAGTTAAGTCGCATAATAATTGACTGCTGTCCAGAGATCCTTTTATCAAATTTTAGCCTAATCATCTGAACTTTTTCAAATCAATGATTAGTCTATTTAGAAATGGTTG